CCGCCGCGGCCCCCACGCCATCGCCCGCCAGAGCGGCGAGCGCGGCCGGCACCGCTGCCGCCGCGGCCGCCGCGAGAGCGGGGAGCGCCTGGCCGGCGGGGAGCGCCTGCGAGGCGACCTGCGACATGGAGTGTGTGTCCAGCACGCAGCGGGGTGCACAGGTGACAGCGCTGCACGGAATTCGAGAAAAGGGCACAACTTGACACTGCTTCACCACCGCCACAGGGTTGGGCACCAGGCAAGCATGCAGCTCTGTTGGTGGCTGCCAACCAACCGTATGCCTCCCCCTGCTGTAGTCACACGCGCCTCACTGGTGCGTGAGACACAGCAGCTCTGCTAAATCAGAAGGGGCATGCGAAAGCCTTGCACCTGCTGCACCGATCCAGCCAGCGCGTCGACCGCAGTTGTCACTAGCCGCGCCGCCGCCTCCGCCTGCTCTTGTGGCGCTAGGGCGGACTGCAGCAGACGCAGCGCTGCCGCGTCCACCACCAACGTCGACGCCGATGCATCAAACAGCGCCCAAGGTCTGCTGCCAGCGGATGCTGCCGCGCAGCCTGCCGCTTTCGCAGCGGCGGCGGCAGCGCCGCGCACGTCGGCGAATTCGAGGCGCAGGAGAAATGTGCGGCGGCCGTCCATGAGGGCGGTCTCGGCCGCGAGTAGGGCGCGGTTGGCCAGGGAGGTCGCCAGGCCGGCGCCCTGGGGCAGCTGGTCGGGCGGTGGGGTGGTGACCACCAGGGCGGGCTCGCCGTCCGCGCGGCGCCGGGGCCGCGCCGCGCCTGGAGCAGCTAGTATCAGGAGCTTTGAGTACTGGGCGCTGTGTTCACATATGGATTGCGCCAGGGCGTCACGCCACGAAGCGGGGGGTGCGGCGGGGTGCGCTGACAAGTCGGTCGCCTCCTGAATGATGGCGAGTCGGGTTGCCTGGGCCGCGCGACACAAAGGGCTTCCCAGCACAAGAAGCGATGAAACATATACGATTGCTCTCATTGCGTGTCTGGTCATGGGTTGCGATCGCGGGGGGATCGCGTCCAGATCAGCGGGAGGCCTGCGTGCCCACGTGCGATTGAAAGTAACGCAAACGTGACAGAAGAATCGACTACACAATTATTTGTAACTGGATCGCCTGGGGCAGGGCAGGCCGATCACATATGCCGCGAACCCGCCGATGACGCATTGACAATGGACGGTGGAGCCCTAGACTGATAGGCGGTGGGACATGCAAGGCCTGGAGCACACCCTGCATCACAAGTCTGGAGGCCAATACGATGGTCCCGATGGGATGCAGCATGCCGTTAATCACTTGTATCGGCCAGTGCTGCCCGTGCATGAAGGTTGCTGATCATCGGACTGTTCAACGTTGCACACTTTTCACCCCCCTCCCATGGGCGACGGATCGACAGCTTGTGACAGCTACAGCAGGAGCGTTTACACACATGAGAGGAAAAGCAAAACTTACAAGAGAGAAGCTCGGGCGGCAAGACGCTGCTGGGTGGGGTCCTGCTGGGCGCGGCTAGAGGGACGCGAGCGCACTGCGGACGCCACCAGCAGACACGAAGTCAGGCCAGGTGCGCCGCAGCGAGCTGGGCAGATGGAAGAGCCTCAAGGCCAAGATGGGTCCTGAGCTGGGATCAGCCCAATCGGCTCACTCCGCCCTGGCAGCGTCCTTGGGGGACTCGAAGCGAGTCGGCGTGTCCAGCACGCCCAGGCAGCACATCCCTGCGCGCACGGGCGAACCAGCAGCGCTCGCTGTGAGCTGGACACATCACTCCAGACACCACTGGGCGCCGTCCTGCACAGCTGGTGCCTGGCCGGCGGCACCCATACCGCGTGCAGCCTTCCAAGTATCCTGGGGCAAAACGGACGCCGGCAAGGCAAGCACAAAGCGGCGGGCAGCGCGGCAGGCATCGCCGGCGGAGGTGCGGTGGCCACGCCGCGCTTCATTTCCCGTCATCTCTGGCTCTGCGCACCTGACAATGAGGCGATGATGATGATGAAAAGGGCCAGCATGCCCTCCAGCCACTTGACCTGGGTCTGTGAGACAAAACGGCGCCATGTCAGTCAGCGCCACAAGCTCGGACAAGGAGGGCAAGCGGTGACGCCGCCTGGTTGCCTTGGGAGGCGCGTTCAAGACTACTGCAGGGTGCAAAGAGCGCCCCGCCAAGCATGCACTACACTGCAATATCAAGGCCTGCCCAGCCAGTGCTGCAGAGACATCGCCCCTCACCCTGCAGAGGGCGTCGCACGTGGCGTACGGCCCCACGCCCACGCCGGCTGCCATGAGCCGGCGCCGCTGCTCGGCGTGCGCCGCCTCGCCGCCCGGGCCGGCGGCGTCCGGCCGCACGGCGTACACCGTGACCTGCCGCTTGCCCAGAGCGGCGG